GAGTTGAGCTCTACTGTAGAAACATTTCTTTGTAGAAATACTTTTTATAAAATATACTAAGGGTTTTGTTTTGTTTTTTTTTTTTCCCAGGAACACTGATGCACCGTTCCTTCTTGTCCTATCTTATCTTCATGTCCACACTGCTCTGTACGCTTCAGAAAGTTTCAGAGGAAAGAGCAAGCATGGTTTATATGGGGATGCAGTGGAGGAAATGGACTGGAGTGTAGGTATGTTACATGTGCTTCTAACAGCAGTGGAGGTAATTCATGGAAGACTTGCATTCTTCTCCATAAAAAGCAGACTTCTGCAATTTGGAAGTCTACAGTATATCTGAAATACTTTTACGTTATCTTAGGGGAAAGGAAGGCACAATAATCCTTAATAACTCCTTTAATATCTACTTTATGACCAAATTTATTCTGTCCTATAAATGCCTGCTTTTTTCTTTGACTATGATGGTAGTCTATACAGTGTGGACTTAGCAGAGATATGGACACCCTAACTATGAACTTTTGAAGCAGAGTAGTTGAATCCAACCCCATGAGCTTCTGGGTGTCATCTGGCCTCTTCAGGTTGTCCTCATGAAACAATATGCCACATGATAGTGATATCAAAGTATATTAAAATAAAGTAACTAAAATATGCACTCTTAGCAAAAGCAATTTGCTAATTATTTTAGGGTATTTTCTAAAATAGTGAAGTCACTCAGGTGAGGTCCACTCCTGTTCATGAAGAACAGTCAAACCCAAACAATTTGGCCTTTATAGCCTTCCATTCTCTCTGAGGCTGGAGAGCAGTTGATCATTACATCTTTCAATAAGCTTTCCTTATCCCTAGATGTTTGGAATGAGACTCTGATTCCAGATGTAATCAACTGTGAAAACAACTAACAGTTCACATTTTAAAATAACTGTGTTGGAGAACAGCAGTATTAGGAGCTAAGATTATCTCACATTACACATGAGCAGTTGATTCTGCTCTCAGTACAGCCCAGTACAAAGAAAGAGGCTTTCTGCAAGAAAACATTGCTTCTTTATTAAGTTGCAATAAACAGATATTCAGCTTTGATGCATACATAATTTTAAACTATGCAATCATGTGCAGTTTAATATCAGATATATATTTCTCTGCATATTTTGCATCAAGAGGTCTCATTGCAGAAGTTAGGGGACAAACAGCAGCACATTACATTTAGCGATTTATAAGGTATTTAGTATCTGCAAAAATGTAGAAAACCCATGTGAGAAACTGCGATACACTTAGAAGGAAGGGGTTTCAAAGTCAAAGATAACAGAGTAAAACTCTTACGTAATTTTTTTTTTTTTTTTTAAAGCCTTTCTTTCCAGTTGTATTACACCGTGAATATCACTTTGGTCAGTGGCCACCAGCATTTGGTCAATGTGCTTGCTTTCTGTTTGCATCTGCATTGTAGTGAGCTACTGAGCATTAGCTGGTCTTAATTTCTGTCATTTATGTTACTAGTTCTTTTTCTGTTCATGATATTTAGCTTATCCCAACCAAATTGGTCATTTGCTGCTGCCATTATGTTTTGCTGAACTCCTTCAGGAGAGTGGCTCTGGGATTTAAACAACTTGGAAACCAGGGCAGCTTACAAGCTGCTGTTTCAGGCCATTTAATTATGCAGAGGTGGTAACAGATTGAAAACCACTGCTCGCTTCTAGAATGACCACAGGCTCTTGGGAGATGTGACAAACATAAGTGTAGAACAGAAGCATATTATTAAAAAAGCTTGAGATAAATTAGGTACAAATTTAGTGGTGATAAGATAGGGATTTTGAACAAACTCAGATAGGAGATACACAAGTTTCCTCATGTGTTGTCCTTTACAATTCATTGCAGAAGAATCAGGGGCTGCGGAGCTAGCTTGATCAATCAAGAAACAGAATCTTATCTGTCATAAATTAATATACAAGCATCGAATTTTGTTGCAGTTAGAGGTCAGGTTACTTTATTTTGCTTATGTCTTGTAAGACTCTTCCCCTGACAGATAGCATATTTACTCCAGGAGGTAGAAAATCCTAGAATCATAGAATGGTTTGGGTTGGGAGGGACCTTAAAGACCATCTAGTTCCACCCCCCCTGCCATGGGCAGGGACACCTTCCACTAGACCAGGTTGCTCAAAGCCTCATCCAGCCTGGCCTAGAACACTTCCAGGGATGGGACATCCACAGCTTCTTTGGGAAACCTGTTCCAGTACCTCACCACCCTCTCTGTGAAGAATTTTTTTCCTTATATCTAATCTAAACTTACCTTCAGTTTAAATCCATCGCTCCTTGTCCTGTCACTACAAAACACGCTGCTAACAAGTCTCTCTCCATCTTTCTTAAAAGCCTCCTTTCTATACTGAAAGGCAGCAATAAGGTCTTCCTGGAACCTTCTGTTCCCCAGATCGAACAACCCAAACTCTTTTCAATTTAAACCCATTACCCCTTTTCCTGTCACTACATGCCCTTGTAAAAACTCCCTCTTCAGCTTTCTTGTAGGCCCTGTGTTTAGTTCCTCTATTAATTTATCTTCCATTATTAGAATAATAAAAATTTATGGCTCATATTTCCAAAGGAATCACAAGGAATAACATACCTTTTTTTTTTTCTTTTTCTCCTCAGTTGAAGAGAGTACTTATTTCCATTAACCTCCACTGTAAATTCTAGTCTTAATGCTTCAACTGTGTCAGAAAAAGTAGATTTATTCACTGTACTGCTGATGTCAGTAACCAGTATTTTCTTGGAAATGTTACATCTGAAGATGTTACAGTAGAAAAGTCAAACAAAATTGTCTGGAAAAGCTGAAAAAGTGAAAACTAAAGATTTCCACAAAGGAAGGTTTTATCCTTCACTAGACAGAAATTATTATTTATGCATTTATGAATGTAAATTACAAAAGCAATAAGAAGAGTATAGCCCAGATATAACAATATGCTGCAAAAACTTCTAATTAAAACCAACACAAGCATAAGAAAAACAAACAAACAAAGTGTGTGTGGAAAACTGCATTATAGTAGAATATCAGAAATATTTGGCATCTGGTAGGAAAAGAAACACTAACTTCAACTCAATTGTAAAACAAAACTGTGTTGTCTGCTGAGTGGGAAATAGTGTGGAAAACCCTTGTGTATGACAAAAAAAAAACCCAGTAGAAGTCAGGAGTTTGGACTGTAAGGTAGCAGTGATGAAAAAGTTATATCAAGATTGTGCCATGAAATGCACATGAAATATAGTTCCTAATCTGAGAGATAGGCTGGTATCTGAGAGACGCCTTTAGCTCCCATTTGCAAGAGAAAAAGCAACAACCTTTCTAGAAAGACAGAGAAGTCTATGCAGAGTACGAATTCTAAATATAAGACAATTCTCCATTTTCATTTGTTTATTTATTGAGAATCAATTACCTAATTGGACAATAATTCAATTATAAGGCAGTCTCCATGCTAGGAGGAGAAAAACCTATAAGACACATCAATAAAATACTCCCATGTATATTTCATGTTTGTGCCTTGTTAAACCATATTTAAGAGTATGATAACAGTCCATGTCAAAAATACAAAATACAAAGTCTCTGGATAATCTTTGGGACCATGTATGTCTTACAGCTTTTGCATACTGATGTGTGTATAACAGAATTCAGTGTTTAAAGCGTTCACAGTTATAATGTCACTGCATCTGACATGCCTTAGAGAGTTATTCTCTGGCTAATAACATTAATTTTCTTTCAATGTAGGCTAAGCACCTTCTTAATGTTATTAATTATAATTCATACGAGAGCAGATGAAATTATCTTACAGTCTAAAAATGGAAAAAGAAAGGATGAATCAATGAATGCAGTATTATCCTTTTCTTCCTTCTTCCCTTCCTTTATTCCTTCATTCCTGATTGAGCATAGGAAGAGAAATGGATATGTTCAGAAATTGTTTTTGCTGTAAATTGCATTACACTAATTTAATACAAAACAGATCACTGCAAAGAGTTTTGGAGCCCCCTGTAGACTTGCATGCAAGCTGTGTGAAGGCAAACTAATTCAGCACCACTTTTGCAAATGCTTGTTTATTGTTCTGTTAACAGTGGCAAAACTATGTATCAGTTCTTAATCCTTTGTGGAACAACCACAACTGGCTTAACTGTGAAAAAGCCTCAGAAATTATAGTCTGGCACAAGCCAGGTAACCGTAGAGTGGGGCCCTTGTCTGAATATCTTTATCATATTAATGTCCTGCAAGCTGAATAAAACTTAACTGCCTCTCTGACATCATCTTTTCACCTGTCTTAGGGTATTGCCATCATCTGGTGTTAGCTAATTAGAAGAAAGGGAGTGGAAATAACACCTAGTGTATCTTACATCTAACTTCTGTTTGAAATATTTGAAAAGGTTTGGGAGACTTAATTATGAAGAGAGTAGCTCCCTATCTCCCCAGTAAAAGAGGGATATGGAGCTACTGGATAGTGTCCAGGAAAGGGCTGCAAAGATGATTAAAGGACTGAAGTATCTCTCCTGTGAGGAAAGTCTGAGAGAGCTGGGACTAGAGCTCTTTTCAGTCTGGAAAAGAGAAGACCGAGGGAGGATCTTATTAATGTATATAAATACCTGACGGGAGGTTGCAAAGGCAATGGGGCCAGGCTCTTCTCATTGGTGCCCACTGACAAGCTGACCTCCAGAGGTCCCTTTCATCTTGTCATCCTGTGAGATGCTGAAAAAAAGAAAAATGCTCTTCACTAAAGTAAATTCATATTTTGAAACAAAATCAAACATAACCTTTAAAAGTCAGTCTAGAGGAACCAAGGAACTCTTCACTGAAGCAAACAGAAGCAAGACATTCTCATGATACTTTCCTCTTCTCCTCTTTCTTTTTTTAAGATAATAACTAAATGCTTATATGCCTTTTATCTGTTTAAATAGATAATATGCAATATATGTGGATTGATCAGGCTTTCTAGTTTTTAATTCTATTCGACTCTGGAATGATGTGAATCAAGGGTCTAAGTGGAAACCATTCCAATTTAGTATAAACCATTTTTATGACCCTATGGCTTTTTTCTCAGTTTTAGTAATAGATGTACCACTGCTTTAGTAATAGATAAAATAACATTTTCAGAAACAAAATGAAAGCTTCTTTTGGAAAACTGTAAAATATTTAGGAAGCTGAAAATTGAACTATGCCCACAAGACTTAGAGTAAAATTCTTGATCTGATGAAGGTATCATGGCATTCACAAATC